AACTTTTGAACGGGGTCATTTTTATAAATTCAACTATTATTTTCTCTTGTGGACTATATGTAAATGTCTTTTATGTGAAATATCTTATTCAGGTCAGTACTAAATAAAAAATAACATGCATTTTGTATGATCCCTCTTATTTTGGTAAAATAATTAACATTTTACAGATTCTGCAAGGTGTATGTAAACTTTCGACTTCAACTGTAGGCTATATATCTTTACTACTACTACTATAAATTATTTACAAAAATACTAAATAAATAATTAATAATGAATTCATCTTCAAAAATGCTCACTAATTGTGCACATTAATTTTATTTTATTAAAAATTATTTTAGTATAATTGATATACTATAATAGTTTTAGTTTATTTTAGTATTCTGAATTAGTTTTTATATTCTGCATTTTCATTATACTTTTAGAAGTTTTGTTTTTTTTGGTCTATATAGTATTTTGGTCTATATAATTTTAATTTTATTTTTTATGTAAACTTTCGACTTCAACTGTAGGCTATATATCTTTACTACTACTACTATAAATTATTTACAAAAATACTAAATAAATAATTAATAATGAATTCATCTTCAAAAATGCTCACTAATTGTGCACATTAATTTTATTTTATTAAAAATTATTTTAGTATAATTGATATACTATAATAGTTTTAGTTTTTTTTAGTATTCTGAATTAGTTTTTATATTCTGCATTTTCATTATACTTTTAGAAGTTTTGTTTTTTGTGGTCTATATAGTATTTTGGTCTATATAATTTTAATTTTATTTTTGTTTTAGTTTTAGTTTTTTTGTACTTCAACTTAAACCAAATAAAAATTAGAAATTTTGCCTTGGCAATTAGATTAAATAAACTGAATTTTTTACATTATTATTATTTTACATTTTATTTTTTTTCAGTTAACATTTATTTTATTTCAAGGCAATTATTATTATTTTTATTTTTTTTATGTATTTTGGTTTTAGTTAATGTTTTCAACAGGCTTATTATCGTTAAGTATTTTTATCAATGTACTTTTAGGAGAAAAAAAATGTATTCTTCAGTGAAACATAACTGAGATTTAATCTCATGACATCTCATGAGCACCAATCAGAAACCTCTGCGCTGCAGGAAGCATCACGTGCCCTGTTCTTTTTTCGTCCGCTCCAGCTGGCCGGTGTGTTTTTACGGGCGTTACGACAGGGCGCGGTGCTTGCTCTGGTGGGCAGGGGAATACCGAGCCGGGCCCGCTGGGCTCCGGGCCCCTGACGGCCAGCTAGACGGCTGTGGTGCACCAGCAGGAAGCATCACGTGCCCTGTTCTTTTTTCGTCCGCTCCAGCTGGCCGGTGTGTTTTTACGGGCGTTACGACAGGGCGCGGTGCTTGCTCTGGTGGGCAGGGGAATACCGAGCTGGGCCCGCTGGGCTCCGGGCCCCTGACGGCCAGCTAGACGGCTGTGGTGCACCAGTCAGCCTGCAGACTCCGCCATCGCCCGACCGCCCTGGCGGTTTATTTTAGCTCTGTCGGCTCTAATCAGTTCCAGCCGCATGTGGCGGAGGCTAAAATCACTCTGCTCAATATATATATATATATATATATACAGTTCTCACACACACACACGATCACTGGAGCCTGTTCTTTCCTCTGCGCTCTTTCTTTCTGTTACCTTAGTCACTCATCACTGTTATTATCACTCTGTTAATGATCTGAACAAACCCATAACACTATGTATTAACTGTTAACTGATCAGATTTATGGTTTTAATCTCATAGATGATAAAATAGGGGGGGGGGG